AAAGAAACAAGTAAAATCCCAATGAAAACAAAACAACCCAAGGCACCAAAACTTATTGAGCGCCCTGAGTCCCTGAAGATCAAGCACAATCAAACCCCTCACAAGTCAGAGCAGTCAGGCCACCTGAAATTACAGAACAGCCAGACCCTCCATACAAACCATAGCACTGGGTCTCCCCAAACTTATGGGGACATCCCAGCCTCTAGAGTAATCAGACCCCCTAAACTTATAGAAGGGTCTGACTTCTCTATGCAAACACAAAATTAAACAAAGGTTTGGGGTTCCCCAAACTTATGGGGACTCCCCAGCCTTAATGAACCGGTCAAACATCATGCAAATTATCCAATTATCCTGCCTTTCCCAGATGAAGTTCCTTCTCTCAATCTGAATTCACACTATCAACAAAGATAGAAACTGAAACTCCACAACATTCCTTTATTTAGTGTTATTCAGTGTCCTGAAGGTCAAACCAAAAATAGAATAAGGCTGCACGTCATATAATCAGTCAGGGATGCAACAGGTAATATAAATAGGGGTTATAATCAAGGTTTATAGAGGGAAACACAAGGATTACCTGTCAATTCCCTGCCTCCAGAGCCTCGCCTAGGCTCCGGCAGAGCTCCCGCAATCGGTGGGTGGACTCCCCACAGAGTCTTGATGCGGTCCTACGGGTTGCAATCCCGCCTGCCGCCTTCCCCTCAGAACAAGACCAGACTTAGAGTAAGAAGGATAGGAAGAGATGGTTTTGAGACTCTCAGATACAAGAGGGGTGCTCTCAAACTCACTGGAGAGGGCCTTGATATCTCGAGTTGCCTGAGGGCCCCGCAATGGCGATCAGAAAGTATCAGCTTGACCAAAATTGCAGCTAGACTGCCGAAATGGATCCCTCACGACTCCCCAAATCAGAACAGCTCAAGAATAAACACTCAAAGGAGGTCCGGGATGTACCGCAGACCAGCGCTACGATGTTGTGCATACTGCAATCGCCCTTGCGGCCTGGCCCGACGTGCTCAACAGCAAAGTGCTGCTTAGTCTCCCGTAGCAATCTGCAGTACGCCCAACAGTTATTGTAGTAGATATACAGGCTAGGACAATTCACAGTTCGCATAGTCAGCGGAGTGGCACTGGGTATCGTCGCAACCAGGAAGCACAACAACAACTTATCACAGCAACTGTAGCGGTCCACAGCGGCCCGCAATCCACTGTAGCCTGTGCACGTAGTACAGTCTCGAATAGCAGCGACCTGTGCAGAGTCCACAACACCAGCCGTTGTCAGCAATCAACTGCAGGCAGTAGTACCAACCCCGCCCGCAGTTCGCAGCCGCAGTTGGGGCACGATCCACAACAACTTGTAAACTGTGCCCAGCCAAACGGTAACACCATGTGTACACGGCGGCGGTGACAAACGGCCTTCAGCGACCCCAACAGGGCCTGTACTCTTACCACCGGACTCACACTACTATGCACAACAGAACAACCGTAGCAACAGCAAACTAGCTGGTCACGGTCTCACCTATGCCCATGGTAACCCCATTGTAAATCTGGAATCAATGCTAGCGACCGAGATTTATGCCAATGCTGAGTACACAGGCTACCATCATGCGCAGGTGGCTCAGAACCAGGGGAGTTGCATCCTCACTACGACTCTTCGTGGTGACCCAGTCCTATTGTCCACAGCAAAAAAGGCACAGGCAGGTAAGTCCTTCTTTATCCCTCTCCCGTGCTAACTCGTGCACTCCGTTTCCTAACTCGCTACCGGCCTCAGACATGCAGGGACGTGAGCAAAACTCCCCCCCTGTCAGGTACGTGTCTCGCTCCCCTCTCTCACAGGCACTGCAGGTACGTACTCCACATCTCCCCCTTCCCTTATCCCTCCGAGTGCATCTGGCCATCCGTCTTGGTCAGATCCTTGCCACCTCTTACGCGCAATCCCCTTTTTTTTCTCACTTCACTCCATCCTTCCCTCGCCACTAACCGTTCCTAAGGTTCGATCGTGCCGCCTGATTCCTTATCTCTTCAGGTGTACATATACAAAAAAAAAAAAAAAGATGAATCTTCCCCGAAATATGGGAAGATTCCCGCCACCTTAAAATGGCCTATCACTCGGGCGCAGTCCCTACCTGCAGCAACTCAAAAATCTACTCACTAACATCGCAAACTAACACCACAATCTGCCTCGCCCCATCTAAGAATCCCAGAATCGTCTCTTGCCCTGCCTGTTTCCATCCCGGAACGGCCGGGCTATCGTTCTCGTCCTCGTCTCCCTCGTCACCTCCCGCGCAGGTCTTTCCTTTTCTAACGCTAATTCTACTCACTTGCTTCAAAAACTGACACCGTTATCATGCTCGGCCGGCCTTAGAACCCCCGAAACGGTCCCTCCCTTGCTCGATTCCGTTCCGGACCGAGCGAGATACTTGCTTTCCCCCTTTTCCCTTCACCACTCCCGCCATAGCTCCACGCACCGTCGTTTTCCCTCCAACCCCGTGTTACTCGATTCCGCCAGGAATCGAGCCATCTCTTAATTTTTCACCCTTCGTCTCTCTCCTCCCTCACTTCAGATACACCCGGCGCGCCCCCACGTCTGGGTTCATCAACACTTCTCTGCAACGTTCACTACGTCCCCGTCAGTCGTCCTTATCTGGTCTTCTTTCCCGCACGTACCCGGCGCAGGATAGCGCCCTGATACCTTCTTCCTCCTCTCACTCCTATCGCCTTTCCTTCCCGTTCGCTATCCTCCCTGCTGCCATCTCCCTTGGGAATGAAACCGGCGCAACAAGTCGTTCGGATTCATTCCGGGCTCATCCCTTTCTCTTTCTTCTCTGCAGCGCCCGCATTCGCACCGACAACTTACCGGACCATATTAAGCGACGTCCCCGTCGCTTCGTAGGATAAAAAAACTATCAATTCAATCACAATCCCAAAGTGCTGACGAGCAGGGTACCAATCCGATTAACCGACAGACCCAGGGTTGAGGCCTCCAATAATCCATGCCAAACACAACTTTATGCTGCCAGGATTCTAACATGGGTCTCCGTCGCCCTTACACTAGGACGTCGGGATACTCCTCACTGTACTACAGCATAAGCTCCATTGGATCTCTCACCGTCCCCTTCCCTGTGCCCTAGACAACCGCCGGCTTCTCGTTGTGTGCCCCTAACCTTTTCCCTTAAAACCAAGTCGTGACTAGGGGCGCGGGCCCTAACCGAGACCTTCGAAGGCATTCTCTCGCCTTCCTCAAAAAAATCTTCACATTAGCACACGTTGTCGTACCACATAGACTCTCACATAAGCTCTCTTGCAGTCTAGTACAGGAAGACCAGGTCTCAATCTTGGTCCACCATAGTCTGGATGATCATTCCAGATCTACGGCTCACCGCATTGTTATTTCAGCGGTAGTGTCTTCGCGGGTTGCGCCACGATAGGCTGCTCCTTATAAGCATTCAATCAGGACTTCCTCAAAAAGACTCATATGACTCGACTCTTATCTCACGCCTCTCCGCAGGGGTAAAGCCCTCCTAGGCGTTCACGCCCCTTTAAGTCTTTACTCCCTTGGCAAGTCGCAGGCCCTCTGCTCAGGTTGTGCCAAACAGCGGCCAACACTAAGGGTTGTTCCTTAGTGATGCTAGTTATACCCCTAGCTGAGTCTCTTATAAATGTCCAAGATTAACACAAGCGACCGGACGTTGTGTCGCAACAATACAAGCCTACTGCGGGACTACGCATAGGCCTGTCGCACATAAATGTATTTACCAGTCCCTCTGTGGGACAACACAGAGGAAACACGGCAACCTCTCCACAATTTCAAAATAAAATCACCGCCTGGCTCACAAGGCCGTGGCCTCCCACCTTGATCAGAGCAAGAAAGTCACACATCTTGATGACATCTCTTAAAACACACAATTTGCGACATCCAAGAATTCCACCAATAGTCAAGCAAAAACTTGGTCCCTCTCGTCAGTCTTTTATTAATCAAAGTCAACCATCCATTTATCAATCTATTTAACCACCTTACTTATAGAGGAGGTCTTACTTTTAATAGGTCTCTCAGTCATCCTTCTCTCACTAGGATGAACTCTCTCGCGACCTTTTCTTTAACGCATCTTCCCTCTCTGAAGGTGCGTTTTCCAAATCGATAATGAACAACCTTTTCATTCACAGGTGCCTCACTCATTATATGATCCATATAAAAAGATCAACTTTTGGGTCTTCTGCATAGCTCAATCAATAGAACACTCATCATTTGAATATTCAGGATCCCCACATTCTTTCACAAAACAGACTGCGCTTCCTTGCCTTATATTCGACTCTCTCATCCGCCCAAGGGCGGGTCGCACGAGTATACCGGCGAGTAGACAGTTCACATTCATCCAGATTCACAAAGTACAAGATACATCAAGCATTTTCTCGCGCATATTTCACACGAAGCCATCATCCATCAAGCCAGGACCACACAAGTGAGTGTGAGAGTGATCGTCATATACAACAAATAGTCCCCAAAAAAAAAGTCTCGATATAATATACATTCAAGGATAAAATATCCCACATGAAATGCCTCCAACATACACTCAGGGGCAGAACGCCCCAGACACAAATTCCCCAAATCGTAACCCACTCAACTCACTCAAAACCACACTCACACTGCTGTCGTCCTCAAAGTACAAGTTGGGTCTGTCTCCCGGAGATCAGGGCGTAGGCCACCTAAGTATGTACAGGCCTCCTCTACCATGTCTCGGTCCTCAAGATGACAGACTCAACAAAAACCCGACCCATACTGCCTAGGAACAACAAACAACACCTAGGTCTACAGAATGTCATCCAATCCTAACTCTAGTCCTACACGCAACATGTCAACTATATAGGTAACTCAGTCCTGATCGTTCATCTCCTCCTGGTTTTGCCTCTATAGCTGAGCCCTACCCCCATCTGCAGATCTCTCTACTCCCTTGCCCTGTCTATCATACATCCTGCCTCCTTCCTCTGTAACCTTCCCTTCAGCCTTGTCCTTTAGGAACTTAGGACATTGCAAGGCTCAATGCCCCTCCTTTGTACAGAAGAAGCAGGACGTATCGAACCACTTCCTGGACCTCTTCTTTCCTCTTTGAGACCCTGGCAATGATGGCGCTTCGCTGGCCTCCCTGCTCAGCTCATGGCTCTGAGGGATATCCAAGGGCTCCTCTCGTGTCTCCACCTCCTGGGTACTCGGTCCAGGTCGCTCCTCAATCCCCTCTGGCCCGTACTCAGGTGTGCCCAACCTCTGGAGCCTGCCCTCGATGACACCCTCCGCCTCAATTCCCATCTCTCTCTCGAAAGGCTCCTCTATCCTCTGCTCAGGTGAAAACAAACTCGCTTCCTCCTGCATCGAGTGCACCGCCTCAATGAGCACGTCCATAGATCCCTCTACTGAGCCCTGAGCTGGCTCACTACTGGATGGTGGTAGCCCCTCCTCATCTGCCAAAGGTATGGCTGGGCCTGCCGCTGCTATAGGTAGCGTTGCGAGCTCAGTAGGGGCTCTGAACTCGAAGGCCTCTCTCTCTGCCTCCCTCAAGGCTCTCGCCTCCTCTGGCTCCAGGATGACTCTCCCCATAGGTGGCTCCTGGCTAGTCTCTGCTGCAGATGGTTGTCCTGGAAAACCATGTCCTGGCTGCCTCTGCTCTCCCTGCTGGCTGCTCTCTGGCTTGTCCGTCCCTCCCTGAGATCGCTGCCTCAGGCTCTCAATGATAGCTGCCTGGCTGGCCACCAATGCCCTGAGTTCCTGGATTTCCACCTCCATAGCCTCCAGGCGTACTCCATGGCCGGCTTCCTTTATCTTCTTTCCTGCCAGATCGCTCTCCAATAGCAAGTGCCGGTCAAAAGTTGCCTTGGCCAGGAACTTGATTTTGCGATCCAACCTTTCTTCCGCCTTCCTTGCCACCCCAAATCCGGCTCTGACTGGCGAAGGAAGCTCCTTTCCCTGTCTCTTATACACATCTAGATGTGTATAAGAGACAGCTCCATGGCCGGCTTCCTTTATCTTCTTTCCTGCCAGATCGCTCTCCAATAGCAAGTGCCGGTCAAAAGTTGCCTTGGCCAGGAACTTGATTTTGCGATCCAACCTTTCTTCCGCCTTCCTTGCCACCCCAAATCCGGCTCTGACTGGCGAAGGAAGCTCCTTTCCTCTCTGCTCCCAGAAGTCCCTCCACATCTAAAGGATCTCCGGGACCCTAGCTGGCGCGCTGGGTGGCTGACATGGGAGTGCTTCTGCTGCCTCCGATCTCTGCCTCTCCTGCTGCTGCTCCGAAAGCTCCCCCGCTGCCTCCAACCTCTGCCTCTCTTGCCATATCTCGTCTATCCTCCTGGTTCTCTCTTTTCCTCTGTTGTCTCTCCAACTGGCGCCCTTTCCTCGTGCAGAGGTCGACCCTCTTCGGGATCTCTGCCTCCATCTCCTTCTCGGGCTGACACGGCTCCTGGCGCGGCTCTGCAGGTGTTGGCTCTTCCAGGTCTGGGTGCTCCAGGGCATGAGCTGCTAGGTGTTTGTCAATCAAGGTCAAGGCTTCTCTCCTTACAGCTGCCCTCTCTCTCCTCCTTTCTGCTCTCCCTTCTGGCGAAGGAGCCTTTTCTCATGAAGGTAACGGGGCCTCCTCTCTCTGCAACCTCTCCCTCGCCTGGCGAGTGCTCCCTGGTGCATCCCCAAGTCTCAACCCCACCGCTGGCGTCTGTGGGGGCATGTCCTCTCCAACCTCTATCACTTCCTTCCCTGCACGTCTCCCCTCGTCACCTAGCTCTCTCTCTCGCTGAGTATCTTGGACCTCCTCCTGTGGCACCTCCAGCTGTGGCACCTTCCCTCGAGGCACCTCCTCTTGAGGAACCTCCTCTGCCTGCTCTCCACGATCCTCACCCCGAGGCGACGCTCTCCACCGAGAGATATCCAAATGTGCCTCCAGCTCCCTCAAAGGCCCTTCAGACGTTGGCAGCTCCTCCTGCGTGCGTGCTGGCGACCTCCTCAATCCACCCTCGGTAAACCGGTGGAACTCCACTGGTCCCAACCCACACTCAGGGTACGCGCCTCGTTCCTCAGCCTCTGGTCTTGGCTCCTCCTCTCTCCTAGCTAGAGCCTTTCATCCTCCTTGAGACGGTCTCGCCTCCCTTGGCTCAGGGTCCCTCTGCCTTTGACTCCTCTTACGCCTCTCAACTCTGGGCTGAGGGGGCTATGGCCATCGAAAGGCCTCTCTCAGATGTGCCCTGGAGCTCTCCCAATCTCGAGCCATGTCTCTGACCTGCTTAGCCAGTGCCCTCTCCGCCTTTCTGGTCCAGAGGGGTAACGTCCTCGCCCACTCATCTCTCGGTATAGCCTGGCCCTGCATGAACCACTCGAAGGCAGTAATAAAATCTGCCGCATTTCCGATCTCTAGGCGGATCGGCCTGCTATCTGGTCCCACAGGCGAAGGTCGCAGCTCCTTCATCCTCATCTCCACCTTCTGCCCCGTCGTCGCATCCCTACGAATCCTGGTAATGGGCTCCTCGAACCTGCCTGTTCCCCTCAGTCTCTCAATCGCCTGGGCCACGGTCCAGCCCATACGCCTCGCATGATCCCAAAAGCTGTCCAGGAATAGCTCGATGTCCCCATCATCGTACACCGGAGTACTCTCTCGATGGCGAGGCACATGCCGGTCATATCCTCCTGATGCTCCCAACGGCCTCCGAGGCGGTCGTGTCCCCCTCCCTCCTCTTGGCATGGTTGTCTTCGTAAAGTAAGACCTGCACAACAGGCGAAGGAGACAACAGACACACATTGGGGTAAGCAAATAGGTGACAATCAAGCAAGCTTAGACCAGACCATACTCATGCAGCATACAATCTATCCGACCTACATAACCTATCGCTTCTATTCTAGAGGTAGTCAGATCGTCTCTCTTACCTCTTCTCTCGCCACAAATTTCTTCAATCGCGTTCCAGATACCCAATCCTTCCATTCAGTCTCATTCAATTCCTCAATCTGGTACGCTCCGAAGTCTCCAATCCATACGATCCGGTAGGGACCTAACCACCTCTTATCAAGTTTCCTGGACCACTGCTTTTCCAGCGATGAATCGTAGAGAAGCACGACGTCCCCAACTGCCAGAGGTACTTTCCTCACCCGGGTAGACTGATCCCATCGAGCCTTATCATCCATACGACTTCTAGCCACTTGATCGGACGCCTCCTGGATCCTTTCCTCTATCGCTCCTATCTGTCGTGCCCGAATGTCGAGCAATTCCTCAAAGGACAGGTCGACTTCCAGATCCTGGCGCTTCCAAGTTTGAAGAAAACTCTCGATACGGAAGGTGGCGTGTCTTCCATACCACAGCGTCGCAGGTGCGTACTTGGTGGATCTTTTCACTGCAATGTTCTCGACAAAGAATGCTGCCCTCAGGTATCTTGGCCATTGATTAGGCCTGCCTTCAGTCCACTTATCCAGGAGACTCGTAATGGTACTATGCCCTCTTTCCACCGGAGCGTTCGCCTGGGGGTGCGCGGCCGTGGTGTAGTTAGCTACTACACCATACCTTGATAACAACTCCTACACCTCCTGGCAAGTAAATTCCGATCCCCTGTCCATTACGAACTCTCTGACGAAAGGATAATGCAGGTAGTACTTTTCGATGCAGCTAACCAAGACTGAACCAGTCTTGGTACGAATGGCACGACCATCTACAAAGCCAGACAGGTTATCGTGCGCATCGAAGATGTAATTATAGCGTTGATCCCCAAGCGGCATGAAAAGTAGATCGAGATGCACTACAACCCCCACCTCTCGCTCTAGCCTTGGATGCAGCGGCTCTCCTTGCCTCAAACGAGATCTCTCCTGGCAGGGTACGCAGGATCGACAGAATTTCCCGACCATGTCCATCATCCCATCCCAGTAGTACAGCTCACTTATCTTGGCATACGTGGCTTGTACCCCTCGATGCCCTCCTGCAATGCCATCATGAAGTGCTGCTACGACGTCAATCTGGCGGTTCCTACCGCAGACGACTCTCCTGGGATTCCCCACTTCTCTTCTTATGAAAAGGTGGTCATCTCGCACTAAGTAGCGCTTCAGCATTCTCTGATCCCTATCACTTACATCCCTTAGCCGCATCTCGCAAGACAAGAGAAGCCCCAACTCTAGATAGATCTCATCATACTCCTCTGCACGAAAGGCCTCCTTAATCTCCCCCTCCTCAAACTCGTCGTCCTGGCTCTCGGGCACTTCATCCACATTCCCTGCCGGGTTCAACGAGCCTGAGTGGTCGAGGTTTTCCGGTAGTAATGTGTTGACGAGGAGATCATTTCCTCCCATCAGGTCCTCATGTCGTTCTACCTGGCCTGGTCCTTCCTCGATCGTCCTCATGTCTTCCACCAGACTATGCGGACTGGCGAGCGCCAATTCCATCATCTTCTGAACATCCTTACCTTCCCAAGGATCTTCTTCTTCAAAGGGTTTGAGGACTAGCTCTGCCCTCCTTTCGTATCCACTCGGCGCTTGCCAAATAGGATAGCCCACACAGCTAGGCACTCGCGATGACCACTTGTTGATATGGAGACGAAAATCTTCCTCCTGATCCAGGAATCCATCAACTGGGGGCGTTTTCTCCACCGCCCATCCTTTCTGGTTATCCTTGTTGATACGACTCAGCCCGTCCGCCCGGTTCTTGTTACCAAGAATACGCTCCAACTCGAAGTTAAACATCCAGATGTACGTCAACTATCTGGCAACCGTTGGATCCGATGCAACGTAATTCCTCAGAGAGTAGGTCAGGGCGGTCGGGTCCACTCTCAAAATAAACCTCCTGCCGAAGATGTAGTTCCGGAAGATCCGTAGACAGTGGAGGACAGCAAGGGTCTCCCTTTTGAACTTAGAGTAGTTTCTCTCTATCATATAGAGAGTCCGGCTTTCAAATCGCAAGGGTTTTTCCTTTCCTTCCATGTCTGTCTGAATTAGAACTCCTCCTAAGGCAGTTGGCCCCGCATCTGTTTCAACAATGAAGGGTTGCGTTTCCGTGGCATCATAATCTGGCGCTCCTAACACCAACCCTCCCTCTCGAAATTCCTCCTTCATTCTGGCCACCACCTCTTCTTGCTCTTCACCCCAAACCCATTCCTGATCCTGACGAACTGACTTCCTCAAGTGTTCAGTCTTAGCGGCAAAGTTCTTGACGAAGGCCCTCCAAAACCCACACGTACCAAGGAATTTCCGGACATCAGTTATTGAGTGGAACGAAACTGACCACTTAGTAATCTTGTCTGTCTTCTTCACATCCGGCCTTCGGTCTTTCTCGCTGCAGACGAACCCAAAGATAGTCGCTTCCCTCATGCAGTGTCTGGATTTGGCCCCGCTTGCCGTGAGGTTGTGCTCCTCGAGCAGACTCAGGACTTTGTCGAGGTCCTGGATGTGCTTCCAAACAAAGCGCCTTACCCCTGGCAAGGCCTTGTCGCTCTCCTTTATTTCCGGCCCCTTCACTGCCAAATCGTCGATGTATGGCTGGGTGATATGGGGGCTGACTGACTGCATAGCCTGAATCATGGCCCGTTGGACCATTGCTACCGCATTGGTCCACCCTTGTGGGGCCACGTTCATGTGGATTAGTCCTCGTGGCGTGTGCATAGCTGTCACCGGCCTGTCTGGGGAGTAGACCGGAAACTGATCATATCTTGAGTAAAGGTCTATAAGTGAGATTATAGACCTTCCAGCACAGGATTCTGATAGAGCGTCCGCATTTGGCAGTCCTCCAGCATCTCGCACGGTCACCGCATTCAGCCTCTGCAAATCTTGCACCCATCGCAGCGTCCCGTTAGGCTTGATGAAGCAGAACCACGGGGACACATACGACCCACTCGAATAGTCGGCGATGTGCGTACGTATCTTGCCGTCGAGGTAATTCACCACTTTCTTTTCTTCGTCAGGATTTGGATATCGCGCCCCTCTCATGTTCCAAGGCTCGTGTGGCACGGTGTGGATGCGGATCATAGGTATTTTGTCCACATCCAGCCTGCCACGCTCCTCGTCACTAAACGCATAGGTGCGATGCCTCCTCTTCATCAACTCCACCATCAATGTCCGCTCCTGAGGCAGTAGGAAGTCGGACTCCCCTATGATCAACTTCCTCTTATTCCCTTCGTTGATACGATATGGCCTTGCTAGCGCATTCTCCCTCATTCACCGTATCAACCCTCGTTCCCTCTCGTAGTATGCTTCCTCGTCCTCTGTAACGAGGACGGGAACCGGGCGACACTTCTTGTCTACCGTCTTGTACCGCCTTTGGGAACCTTAATTGAGCCAAATGGACTGGAAGTGTGTAGTTTGCGGCATGGTGGATTTGGTGGTAAAGGGTTCCAAGTCCGCAACAATGGTGGACACTGGGGCGGAGATGAACATTATCCAGGAGGCGGATGCTATCAGATTCGGGTTGGACATAGACCGATCTGATTGCGGTATTTTGCACGGCGCAAACTCCAAGGCCGTGTTTTGTGGGACAGCCTCGAATGTACTCATCGAGGTCGGAAAGATGAAGGTCCGAGCTTGCTTCTTCATCATGCCGGATGTGGACCACGGGATCCTCCTAGGAAGATCATTTTTCAGTAGGACAGAAACCGTGATGTTCAACAAGCATGACAGAACTCTGATCCTCCTCCTATGCGACCCTACCTGCGAAAATTACGAAATAATTACCTGCAGAAACATAGGACCAAGGAGTATAAGGAACCGGCCCAATCCAGGGTCGTTCAGAATCGAAGAGTCGGAAGGTGAGCGCCGGAGGCTCGGGGCAGAACCAGAAGCAGGAGAGAGGGTGAAAGCATTTTCCCTCAGCTTGTTGGACGTCGGGAAGGCCATGGACTTGGTGGCCGCACATGAGATGGCAGATCCGGATGCCATCCAGGCCTTGAGGGAACAAGTTCTGGAATGCCCCGAGGCAGGAAGATTGGAGCTGGTATATCGGCTCCCGGGCAGCGGAAAGGGCCCCGCATCAGCGCAAGCGCAGTCTGTGAGTCGGCCTTTTCGCCCACTCAGCCTCCTTGGGCAGGATCGTACCCAGATGGACATTGGGCACCAGGCGCCGTGACAATCTCCCCTTCAGTTCATCGCAGAGCCGCAGAGCCGACGCTAGGATTTCCTTCAAGGTCATGAGGTCATTATGCCTTTCCAGCAGCCGGTCGATCACTTTCTCTACGTAAAATCCCTCCTCCAACCGAACCGCGTATTTCTTCTTTTTGGGTGGTCCGTCACGTATAACCGGTTCGGCCTCTCTGCTCGTCCCCTTTTTCCTTGCCCGCTGCTCCGCCCTCTGATCCTCTTCCCGATGCAGCCTCTCGTCTTCTTCCTCCTCCTCATCATCGTCCTCCACTTCCACGGCCTCTTTCCTCCTTCCTGGTTCGGTCTCCCTCCTCGGAGGCTCTTGGCTGGCACTGGCCTTGGCTTGATTCCTCGTTCGCGCTGCCTGTGCCAGCCGGGCCTGCGGGGTGAGGGGTCTCCCCATCACTCCCGATTGTGGGCTCGCCCCCCCCACATTTACTCCGGGTCGCCCAGGCGCTGACTCCGGGCCGGAGTCGTACAGGAATACCTTGGGGATGCTAGACTTCCATACCCTCACTTCTCTACAGAGGTTCACCAACTTTTGTTGGTACCTTCCTACCTTATTCAGCAAGTCCTCCATCTTTCCCAATAAGACGGACGATGGTTCCGCCCTTGTTTCCTCGTCCTCGTCATCCGATTCGACGATTATGGGTTTTTCCCTCTTGCTTCCTCCTCGTGGCCCTTGAGTCACTTCCTCGTCGCTCCCCACTTCCTCTACCCCAATCGGTGGTTCCTCCTTCTCCTGCCATAGCCTGAACGTGGCAGGGGGTGGTGGTCCGGCTGCCGCCCTTCGTTGGGCTTCCGCTCTCACTCCTTCAAGCCTTTTGTCAATGACCTCCCCAAACTGATCGTTAATGTTCCCATCCATAGTAGAGGGAATTAGCCCGCTCCTCTGATCTTCTCGTCTTATGTTACAGAACCTTATGGTGTGGCCTTGCTGGTCACAATGCTGGCAGATGGCCGTCCTCCAGTCAAAACGGGGTCTCCCATACCCCTGACTTCCCTGATCTCCCTGGCCTTTATACCCCTGGCCTGGGTACCCTTGGCCTTAATTCCCCTGGCCTTGGTACCCCTGGCCTTGGTTTCCTCGGCCTTGACTATTCTATTGCCCTCCTCTTCCGCCGCCATTTTTGCCTCGCCCCCTTCCTCCACCCCTCCCTCAGTTGCCTTGATTGCCCTGCCTCTGGTTCCCACCTCCAACCACGCTTCCCTGTGAACTGGGAGCAGGTGACGGCGGCGGGGCCACAGGCTGGGTCAGGGCTGCGGGGTAGATGGGTGGCGGCATACTCATTTGCGACCCCACTACTGGCGGCCGACTACCCCATGGCACAATTGCATTCATCACCGGCCAGGACCACTGTCCGTAGGAGGACGCCCCTCCTTGCGAGGGGCCCGCACTAGACGAGGGTGCCGCCACACTTGGATGAGCCGCCGCCACCGCCTGAGGCGCCTGCGCTTTTCCTGATCCCTGTCCGCCCTGTGCCAAGTTACGCACTTTGCGCTGGGCCTTCGTCAGGCGTTGCGGCACCGGCTCTTCCTCTTCCCAGAGCTCCTCCTGAACAACCTCCTCTATCACCGACTCCGTTCCTTTCACTTGGACAACCGTTGCTACCCTCCTTTGCACCACCGGCTCTGTTGCATACCCCAGCTGTGCCAATACGTCTGTAACAATCCTTGTTACCCCCGGGGTCCCAGAAGCGGTCGCATCTATTTCCTTTCTCTTCTGCCTTTGCAGGCGTACCTGACGTTGCTCCACTTGGACCAAATACCCAACTTCCATCCCTCTGTCAATAGTGGTCCAGGTGAGCTTGGTGCTACCTCCTCCATGCCTCATCAACTCGACGGCCTCCGATGCCGTGAGTAGCCCCAGGAAGATGGCGCACTGTGCTTCCTCCGAAATCCCATGGACCTTCCGCGCCCTCTTCTTGAACTCCTGAACAAAGACCCCTATCGTCGTAAAATCCTCCTTGTTCATTGCTTCAAGGTCCGCAGTGGTCAATAGTCCATCTCCAAGGCGGTACTTCCTCTGCATTCCCTCTTTGAACCTTTCCCAGCTACCTTGGGCTGCATCTATAACTTTCTTCACTTCTCGGTGGTAGCTGTGGAGGACAAACTGAAGGATGCGTTTGAACTTTACAACGTCCGACCGCCCGACCAGAGCTTGTTCCTCCCGCTCCAGTCATTTTGAGACTCTCTCCCCACAAAAATGGAAGGTATCGACCTTGGGGATATTGCTTGGATTCCTTTCATGCCGGTCGATGGCCAAGATGAGGTCATCGAGCGTCAGACCCTTCTTGGGTGCACCCGATGCGTCGCCAGTCTTAGGCATCTTGACAGCTCTTCTTTTCAAGTTCCGTGGCAAGAGAAAACAAGCACATCCCCTTGTTCATCATAACACCTTGACTGGTCTACTCCATCCGTCCTACCTAACCCTTAGTACTTGCTTTACCCAAATGTTAACAAGATCGTCCCTCATATTCCCCTTGACTCAGGTAGGTAAATTTTCTCACCTGTACTTAGTCACTTATTAATTTTCCTTACCTTCTCGTCATTCCTTTATGCCTTTTTCCCATTCACTTCTCATACCCGGATGTCGTTCCACCAGGGACAACGGTAGGCTTTCCGTTATCCCCGGCAACGGCGCCACCTGTCGTGCGCATTGGTCCAGCACTGCATCAGGGCAGCGCGGGACCCTCCCGGCCACATCACGCAGGAGTTGGTTTTATATCCTTCGTCGCGAATATACATGGGGCTTCCATAAGCCGCTCCGACCGAGTGCGCCAGCCATACCTCTCGCGAGCCCCTACGACAGGATAGGGCCTACGCGAGGCACGACGTACCTCCACGTTACGGGAGCTGTCAGCTCCCTTCGGTGGGCGTATCCCCGCCGAGCTACCAGTCCACAATACGAGAGCTAATCAGTTGCAATCGCAGAGGTGGACCAGCCGAGGGCGTTTCTCGTTCGCTGTAGCATAGGGGGTACGCGCGGTAATACGCCTCTATCAGACCCGCACGCGAACCACCATCTTGGAGGGTTGAAGTCCCAAGCGCGGCCTGTCGTCGGTCGACTAGGACGTATCCCACACACCACGCGCACACCACTTTACGAACATAAAAAAAAGAGAAAAAAAAAAAAAAAAGACACACACACACACACACGAAACAACACAACAAAAACAACGAGACAACGCTCCTAGCCCCTCAGTAGCCAACCCATAACTTTCCGGTGCAGAAAAACAGATAAGCGTCGCGCATGAGACTTAGTATAAAACCGCGCAGACGCAGGGCTTACTCATATCAACTCGCGATGCAGGCGTACGCAAGCAGTCGCAATGATGGCGTACTATGTAGTGCCCATAATCAAGCGGTCCCTCGTGGATCCGAGTACCGCTTATCACACTCAAGTGTCAGACTCGAAGTGTCGTGAGGGTCTAATCCTTCACGACATTGCACGGCTGAAGGAATACCCGTGCAGCCGCCGCGAGACCTCCGGCCTTTGGTCTGAGCATTTCGGTAGGCAAGGCAAATAGGCTCCGCACGAGGGAAAATCCCTCCTCTGCAGAGCCTAGGGCTTGGGATGTCCTGGACAAGGACCTCGAATCCCGGCCCAGGACCAACGTCCGACTAAAAAATTCTCAAGAAGCAAGGCAAAATAAACGGAGGAGTCCCCCCCTGGGCCTCTCAGTCTTACCCTCTGAAGTATGCTCTTTGTACGGAGCCCATTAGTCCATGCATACATTCACCCTACGTACAACCCAAAGGACCTGTAACACAAGATAGGTCAAATGCCCAGGCTAAATCATCATCATATGGGGGATAAACCTCCATAGCGCACCTCCATATAACACTCTCTAGCGCCACCTGTCGAAAATAATCTAACTCCTCTGAAAACAACGAAATTTCGGCAGCGCTTCTCGTAGGAAAAGTGCCCTTTCAGAATTTATAAAAGCCCAAATATGAAATAGAAATAACCCTTGACTCTCCAAAGTCCAATTTTGTCTAACTCCCTGAATTAGCAAAATTTTGGACAGCACTTCCTTTAGAAAAGGAGTTTTCCCATAATTTTACTAAGCCATATATGAAATCTAGACAAGTTGAACTTTGAGAAGCCATAAATTTGACTAACTCCCCGAATTAGTAAAAATTTGGGCAGCACCCCCTTTAGAAAAGGAGGCTTTCCATATTTTCACTAAGCCAGATATAATGAAAAGACAAGTCAAGCTTTGACAAGCCAAACTTTTGACTAACTCTCTGAATTAGCAAAAATTTGGGCAGCACTCCCTTTAGAAACGGAGGCTTTCCATGTTTTTACTAAGTCAGAAAGACAAGTCAAGTTTGGACAAGGAAAAATTTAACTAATTCTTTGGATTTGAAGAAATTTTGGCAGCACTTCCCGTAGAGAAAGTGGTCTGCCAAGATTTATACAAAGCCAAGTATAAGAAAAGATCCCAAAAAAATGCGAGGACCGACCTAAGTAAAAAAAAAACTTAGCTCTGAAAATGCAGGAATTGAAACTAACTCCTATGGCTCTAGCACGTGGCGAGCGACTAAAGCAACTACCTATCAAAACTGAAACTCAGACTAAGTAGTAGTCTCACTCAGTCGCATGCAGGCCAAACCACAAGGGTATGTACTCTCACCATCCCAAAGTCAACCTAAACAAACAATAGTTCATGATCTCCCAATGATTTAACCCTTTATACCCGGCTTACATAAGGCATAGGTCAGGCCGCCTGAACTTACAAAACAACTCAACTTAGCCAGGCCTAGAGTCAAAATACCTAAACTTATAGGGCGTTCTGACTTGGCCAAATATAGACAAACAAATGGCACAACTACTTTTCTTTTCTTTGGGCACATAACCAGACCACTCTAGTCGCCCTGGACTGTTTAAAGTATCCAAGTTATATATACTTATCTTTACTTTTGTCTTCTAAGGTTGAATATGACTGAACTAACTTAAGTTCATCCTGCCCCAGTTTACCATCAATTCTATTCTTAGTTGTACTTTCTTCAAGTTGTGATACGGCTATAGTCAGACCACCTAAACTTATAGAACAGTCTGATTAGCTCGTTCTTAGATAGAGTAGTAATAAAGTATAACCAAATTATAACCATTGGGTTTCAGCATGTGCGAGGCTTTGAGCCAGACCCCCTAAACTTATAGAAGGGTTTTAACTCTCTGCCACATTCATTTCTAACTAAGCCATTACGTGTGTGGCATCGAGTCAGACCCCCTGAACTTACAGAAGGGTCTGCCTCTTTGCCAAGGTTAATTCTTCATAATAAAGAGCAAGAAGAGACTGAGTCACCTGAACTTACAGAACAGCTTGGTCTCCTCGTTCAGAAATGAAAGAAACAAGTAAAATCCCAATGAAAACAAAGCAACCCAAGGCACCAAAACTTATTGAGCACCCTGAGTCCCTGAAGATCAAGCACAATCAAACCCCTCACAAGTCAGAGCAGTCAGGCCACGTGAACTTACAGAACAACCTGACCCTCTAAACAAACAATAGCATTGGGTCTCCCCAAACTTATGGGGACATCTCAGCCTCCAGAGTAATCAGACCCTCTAAACTTATACAAGGGTCTGACTTCTCCATGCAAATCCAAAATAAAACAAAGCGTTGGGGTTCCCCAAACTTATGGGGACTCCCCAGCCTTAATGACCCGGTCAAACATCATGCAAATCCTCCCAACATCCTGCCTTTCCCAGATGCAGTTCCTTCTCTCAATCTGAATTCACACTATCAACAAAGATAGAAACTGAAACTCCACAACATTCCTTTATTTAGTGTTATTCAGTGTCCTGAAGGTCAAACCAAAAATATAATAAGGCTGCACGTCATATATTCAGTCAGCAATGCAACAGGTAATATAAATAGGGGTTATAATCAAGGTTTATAGAGGGAAACACAAGGGTTACCTGTCAATTCCCTGCCTCCAGAGCCTCGCCTAGGCTCTGACAGAGCTCCCGCAATCGGTGGGTGGACTCCCCAAAGAGTCTTGATGCGGTTCTACGGGTTGCAATCCCGCCTGCCGCCTTCCCCTCAGAACAAGACCAGACTTAGAGTAAAAAGGATAGGAAGAGATGGTTTTGAGACTCTCAGATACAAGAGGGGTACTCTCAAACTCACTGGAGAGGGCCTTGATATCTCGAGTCGCCTGAGGGTCCCGCAATGGCGGCCAGGAAGTAACAGCTTGACCAAAATTGCAGCTTGACCGCCGAAATGGATCCCTGACGACTCCCCAAATCAGAACAGCTCGAGAATAAACACTCAAAGGAGGTCCGGGGTGTACCGCAGACCAGCGTTACGATGCTGTGTGTACTGCAATCGCCCTTGCGGCCTGGCCCGACGTGCTCAACAACACAGTGCTGCTTAGTCTCTCGTAGCAATCTGCAGTACGCCCAGCAGTTGCTGTAGTAGATATACAGGCTAGGACAATCCACAGTTCGCACAGTCAGCGGAATGACACTGGGTATCGTAGCAACCAGGAAGCACAACAACAGTTTATCGCAGCAACTGTAGCGGTACACAACGGCCCGCAATCCACTGTAGCCTGTGCACGTAGTACAGTCTCCGATAGCAGCGACCTGTGCGGAGTCCACAACACCAATCGTATGCAGCAATCAACTGCAGGCAGTAGTACCAACCCCGCCCGCAGTTCGCAGCCGAAGTTGGGGCACGATCCACAACAACTTGTAAATTGTGCCCAGCCAAACGGTAACAGCATGTGTACACGGCGGCGGTCAACAGCGGTGACAAACGGCCTTCAGCGACCCCAACAGCGCCTGTAGCCTTACCACCGGGCTCACACTACTATGCACAACAGAACAACCGTAGCAACAACAAACTAGCTGGTCACGGTCTCACCTATGCCCATGGTAACCCCATTGTAAATCAGGAATCAATGCTAGCGACCGAGATATATGCCAATGTTGAGTACACAGGCTACCATCATGCGCAGGTGGCTCAGAACCAGGGGAGTTGCATCCTCACTACGACTCTTCGTGGTGACCCTGTCCTGTTGTCCACAGCAAAAAATGCACAGGCATGTAAGTCCTTCTTTATCCCTCTCCCGTGCTAACTCGTGCACTCAGGTTCCTAACTCGCTACC